GATGGATGTGTGATAACAGAGTAATTGTGAAAAACATGTGGTTAATACTTCCACCATTGCTGTATCCAGATGTTAGCTTCTGTCTCTCCTGCTGCTGGAGACCGGAGGATGGATGTGTGTTTCTGGTGAACTTAAAAAGTTTGTTCATCTACGTAAAAGCTGCTTTTTGATGATGAAATCCTGCTTCTGCTCAGCAGGAGGTTCATTGTTTGCATAAAAAGTTGCAGCTGTAGGAAAAAGTTTTTATTAACATTTTCTGTAAAACTCTGCAGTTGTTTAGCAGGAAAACTGCAGCAATTAGGCCTGAAAAACCCAATAAATTAGGAAACATGATGCTGTTTTCATCCGTCCAGTCTTAAAACGTCTAGCTGGTGAGTGATTATAACTGTCAAACACACACACACACACACACACACACACACACACACACACACACACACACACACACACACACACACACACACACACACACACACACACACACACACACACACACACACACACACACACACACACACATCAAAATGAAGATGAATAATAAACTGCTGGCACCTAACCACAACTTACTAAACCAAGTGAACCCCCACCGGCGGCAGAGCCTTCTGAGATCAAGGGACAGGAAATACCTGCCGGCGAGGGCCGACGTGCTCGGGTCCCAGTAGATTTACTGGAGCAGCTAATGGTTCCAATGTTGGGGCGGCTTTCTCCACCCGCCTCCTCATGAATACATCACACGTCAGTCAGAAACAGGCCAAACACACACACACGCACACACACACACATACATTCGTGCATTCAGGTAATCATGATGCAGAAAGCCTGACACAGATAACGTGAAACGGGTCAGACCAGGAACACAATCTGGGCTTAAACTATAAAATGTGATATTTATAACTGATGACCTCATCCAGCAGGAATGCTGCGGAGCGTTTCTGCCAAGTGTTAAAATCACCGCAGTGTCACAAACCTGCTGAGACGTAATGTTCCTCTGACCACCGTTTTTCTGATGTGGATTAATAACTCAAACATTTGTGGATTCAGTTTTAAGTGTGTTGATGCAGCTGCTGCCTCAGACTCGTCAGGTCCACCATGGTGATACCTGTGGCTCAGTCAAGTCACGATGGTAACAACCATTGGCTTTGCGTGGTCGCCATGGTAACCACTCTCCCTGACCAGAAGCTCTCCCTGACAAACATCTGGTGGGTGAAAGTCACCGACCCAGTCGCCAGAGAAAACGATCTTTTGTATCGCGCCTCTCAAGATAAAAATTACAAGGCGGTTCACAAACCCCAAAAAAAAGTTTAATTTTTGAAGATTTCAAAAAAGTATTACAAATATGTGTGACCTTTGACCCAGCTCTCACCCTGGATTCTCATGTCAGTTCTCTTGTTGGCTCTTCCTTCTTCCATCTCAGGAACGTTGCTAAGCTGAGTCCCATTCTGTCCCGCTCTGAACTTGAGACAGTTCTCCACACCTTCATCTCCTCACGCTTAGACTACTGTAACTCTCTTTTCACGTGTCTAAGCAGAACCTCCCTGAACCGTCTACAGGTGGTTCAGAACGCCTGTGCTCGGCTTCTGACCAAGTCCTCCAAACACACCCACATCACCCCGCTTCTCCTCCAGCTTCACTGGCTGCCAGTCAACTTCAGGGTTCATTTCAAGATCCTGGTTCTGGTCTATAGGGCCTTACATGGACAAGCACCATCTTACATTGGTGATCTTCTTAGTCCCTACACCCCCAGCAGGTCCCTGAGGTCCAGTGACCAAAGCCTACCCCAGACTCTGGACCTCTCTCCCCCTGAGCCTGAGATCAGTGGACTCAGTGGTCTCCTTTAAACTCACCTGTTCAGGTTTGGTGGGACCTCCATCCCCTTCCTCTCCTTGTTCTGCTCTTGTTCCGCCTTTCCCAGGATCCACTCATTTCCCTCTTTCACATTCGTTTTCCCTTTCCTTACATTTTTAATCACATTTTTTTGTATTGCATTTTTTATTTTGGTGTTTGTGAAGCGCTTTGCTCTATGAAGCTCTACGTAAAAGATCGTTTTCTTTCCTCCTTTGACTTATCTGACACACACACTGGACTGTGCGAGCCTCGCCTGGCTCTCTGCTCTGACTCACGCTGGAAAAACAGATTTAATCATGAGTAAACGGTCTCGGCCGCGGCACCGTGTGCATGTGCGAGCCATTTCCACTCATTATGCTGCGATCTGAAAGGTTGTGGAATTGAAACCAGCACAAAGAACGACGCTTCCAAGGGCACTGGGAGCACCGGGACAAATCCTTGTGTTGTTGGATGACGAGTTGCCACGGCAACATGGCAGACAGGCAGGGGGTGAGGGTGGTTCTCTGTGCTGTAATTGGACAGCAGTTGTCTCAAGACTCAGCCAGGGTAGTGGAGTGGTGTGTTTGCTGTAACACATAACACACACACACACACACACACACACACACACACACACACACACACACACAACACACACACACACACACACACACATACACACATACACGCACACACATGCGTGCACACACACAAACATACACACACACACAAACACACACACACGCACACACAAACACACACACACACGCACACACACAAACACACACACACACATACACGCACACACATGCGTGCACACACACAAACATACACACACACACAAACACACACACACGCACACACAAACACACACACACACACGCACACACACAAACACACACACATACAGACATGCATGCACACACACAAACACACACACATACAGACATGCATGCACACACACAAACACACACACATACAGACATGCATGCACACACACAAACACACACATGCACGCACACACAAACACACACAAACACACACATGCACGCACACACAAACACACACACACACACACACACACACAGGCAACCAACTCTGACCATCAGCACCGGTTCTCCTCAGGGCTGTTCCCTCTAATCTTCTCCCCGTACACCAACAGCTGCACCTCCAACCACGAGTCTGTCAAGCTCATCACGTTTGCAGATGACACCACATCATCAGACCCGTCTCTGATGGGGTGAGTCTGCCTACTGGAGGAGGAGGAATGGCTGGTGTCCTGCTGCAGCCACAACAACCTGGTGCTAAACACCCAGAAGACAAGCCCCCCTTCCCCATAACCCTGTCTGACACTCCCATCACAATGGTGGACTCATGTCACCTCCTGGACACCACCATCACCCAGCACCTCCATCATTTAACGGCCCAGCAGAGGATGAACTTCCTGAGCCAGCTGAAGAAATTCAGTTGAGTCATCCTCATCTCTTCAATCGCTGTGTGCTACGCTGGAGCACTTAGAAGAATCTTCTCAGAACACAACATCCCGGTACACTTCGAACCCAACAACACCGTCTGGCAGAAACCGGTCCACCCAAAAGAAAAACCACCGGAGCAGATCAGTGGCGATGTTGATGTGGTCCAGTGTAGGGAGGACTGTCCAGATCTTTATGTTGGGGAACACAGGCCCCACACAGGAGAGCCCCCTCTTCAGGTCAGACTCCTACACCTGAAGGACAAGGGGCACACTTCTGAAAATGCCGAATCAGAACCAGAAGGTTTTATTGCCACATGTGTGAGAATCCCAACATTAGGAAACTGCTGCGGAGCAAGTAACGGATCAGCACAGCTAGAATTAAGAAATAAACACAATGAAATGATGAGGTAATTATTAGAGAAGCAGCTTCTTCATACGAGTCAGTGCAGGTCGGTTCAGGTGCAGACATGCAGGTCATGTGACTGGAACAAAGCAGCTGGAGTGGGCGGGTCTACGATTGTCATTCAGGAGTCCGACAGCAGAGGGGAAGTAACGGTGTTTGTGGTGAGAAGTTCTGGTCTGAATGGATCTGAGCCTCCAGCAGGATGGGAGCGAGTCGAAGAGACTGTCCAGGGTGAGACGGGTCAGCTGTGATCCGACTGCACGCCTCAGTGGAGGCGAGTTAGCCGCCAACGACCGCTGCAGCCTCTTGTCCCTGTGCTAACTCTGTTAACACACGCCTGTATCCTCCAGAGCAGACGGACTGATGTTTGGGTCTGTCTGACGTCCTGCTGACCCTTCACTCATCCATCTGAGTCGCATTCATACATGGTGGTTTTCATGGGGGGGGCTCAGCAGGACACTGGGTGTTGGAGGAGGGATGCTTCTTCTCCTGTGAGTGCTTTTGATCTTTGATGAATGTTGTAGTCATCTGTCAGTTTTATTCAGCCCTCACCATCAGCAGCACCTGATCCAGACTCCGAGTCCACCATGTTGGGTGACTGATCCCATCGTAAACTCTGGAGTGGAGTTGAGCTGACCGGATCTGCGGAGACAAAGAGAGAAGCGCTGGCAGACAACACGATGGGAGGATTAAAACACAGCCAGAGCAAAAATCCTCTGATGTGTGTTTTTATTCAGAGACATGATTTACTGTGAGAAGTGACGCTGAAGAGAAAGCACATTCCATCAGCCCAAAGTCTCCCGGGAGCGATGAGCTCTGTCCCAGAAACCAGACCGGCTCCAGAATCTGGCTGGCTGGCTGAGGATCCTCTGGACTCCAGAGTCTACAGAGGCTCCATCTGAAGCTATAGATGTCTGCTCCGGAAAATGGCGTGTGTGTGCGTGTGTGTGTGTGTGTGCGTGTGTGTGTGCGTGTGTGTGTGCGCGTGTGTGTGCGCGTGCGTGTGTGCGTGCGTGTGCGTGTGCGTGTGCGTGTGCGTGTGCGCGTGCGCGTGTGTGTTAGCTCTGTAGCGACCTCTAGAGGCCACAGGGCTTTTCTGGAGCCTCCTAGGACCAGAAATCATCCTTTAACACAGCAAGAACCTTTGCTAAAACAAGACATTTAATAAAACATATCCAATCATTTGAAGAAGCAAAACTTATAAAACCTTATCCTTAATGTCTACACCAAGAAAAAAGCAAAGGAAAAGTTGTCATGTTCTCTAGGAGACTCTGGAGCGAACACACCCGGACACGGGAAAAAGGTTAACAGTTTTATTAAAAGTCCAGCAGGTTCTCGATGTGGAGGAACTCTGGACGGGTTCGCAGAGGCGGCTCTGATGGGGGAAACAGAGGGTGAGTCGAGGAGCAAGGAGGCTGTGTTCTGATAATAGAACGAAGGGGGAGAGCTTACTGGTCTGCGTGGTGAGGAGCGTTTGGAGGGGAGGTGAGGTCCAGTGTGGGAGTGTGGCAGGCCATGGCTGAGATCTCCTAGGAGCGCTGGAGGCTCGAGGGTGGACAGGCAGGCGGAGAAGAGGAGGATCCAACAGGGCATAGAAGACAGAGCTGAAGCGCTGCAGCCAGGGTGAAGCAGACACCGCGGTTCAGGGAAGACGTTGGGAGATCCTTAGGTCTGGGAACTCAGAAGGATAGGCCGGCTGTGAGACAAAACATCACAGGTGAGGAGAACACTGGGAAGCACAGCGCTGACCTGATTGTCACGCTGCGTGGCTTAATCATCTGGCGTCTGCGTCTCTCCTCCCGCCTGCTTTTAAGTGCTCCACCTTAATTGCTTATGATTGATGGCACCTGGTGCAGCCTCCCTGCCACACCTGAGGAGAAGAGGTGAGGACACACACACACACACACACACACACAACCTCACAAAAGTCACTTAATAGTATGTTTCCCCTCATCACAATATTAATATTATATTAATAATCTAATAATATCATTACTACTGTAGTCAAATACGTTATATGTATTTTTTCATTGTAATACTTGCACATTATTTGAGGATGATTTATTTATTTATTTACTTTCTTATCCAGTCTGATTTTAGTCTTGTGTAAGAGTAAACAATTCTCTCCAACACATAAATGCAAATCCCCCTGACTAATTTTTTTTTTTTTTTGGGACATTTTACTTTTCTGTTTCTGGTGCTGTGAGTGAAGCTTAGAGGATTTTTACTGCAATTTTTTCACTTTTTGAGCATTTGTTACGATGCATAACCATGACAACAAGCTGGTTTACAATTGGGAGCAGCTGATTAACATTGGAAAGGCTGAAATAATACCTCAACTGAAGCCACAAATCCCAAATGAGCTAAAACACAAGAAGCGTGGGTGCAGAGCGGGAGCAAAACGGAGACAGAGAAAGAGGAATTTCAAACCATCTTTTCCATCGATCATAATGGGCAATGTGAGATCGCTGGCCAGCAATGGATGAACTTCAAGCCCTTTCAAGGACTCAGCCAGAGTTTCGGCAGTGCAGTGTTATGTGTGTCACTGAGACGTGGCTGCAGGACCATATCCCCGACTCCAGCGTCTCTCTGCCAGGATTCCCGACTGTACGAGCAGACAGAGATCTGAAGAGGAGCAGGAAAAGAAAAGGAGGTGGAGTGGCAGTGCTTGTCAACAACAGATGGTGCCATCCAGGTCATGTTTCAGTGAAATTTCGTCTCTGCAGCCCAGATGTTGAACTCTTGGTAGTAACTTGTCGCCCATATTTTTGCCAAGAGAGTTCACCAGTGTTGTCTAGGCAACTGTTTATATTCCACCTTCAGCCATTGCTGAAAATGCATGTGATGCCATGAGTTCCATTGTCGTTAAGCGACAAACCCAGCACCCCAATGCATTTGTGGCTATATCTGGTGAATTTAATCATGCCTTGCTCTCTGCTACACTTCCAACATTTCAACAGTTTGTCAGCTGCTCCACCAGAGAAAACAAAGACATTGGATTTGTGTTATGCAAATGTAAAGAATCATACATGTCCAAAACAAGACCTCCTCTGGGACAATCAGATCACAATCTTGTTTTTCTCTGCTCAGAATACAAACCACTTGTTCAGAGGCAACCTGTGACAAGAAGAACTGTGAGAAAATGAAGCCTTGCAGGGTTGTTTTGAGACCACAGATTGGATGACTCTCTGCCAAGGATATGAATAGGACATCAATGCCATGACTGGATGTGTCACTGACTATATAAACTTCTATGTGGACACCATCATACGCACCAGAACCATTTTTCATTTGGATTTATTAATCAGTCCCTTACCAATTAATAGCTACAGTTCATTTGAACGTCTTATTCTTAGTTTTCCTAATCCAGATTGCAAAACTGTAAAACCACTCTTGTTTGTAGTTGTATATCGTCCACCAGGCCCTAAAGCCTGGTTTGTGCTTCTCCGTCAGCTCCGCAAGGGACAGACATGCACGGATGACGGAAGCGTTTTGCTCTCATACTTCTCCGTCTCCTGGAGAGTGTTGCAAAGCAATTGCCCGGCAGGACAACAGAGGGCGTAGTGCTGTTCTGTGGTACCCTGTCATGTATCGGTCCAAGATAGTGTATTTATATTGTGTTTTTTGTGTATATAAGAGACTTTTAACACGGACATATTTGTCTCTCATTCTCCCACCGCTTCATGCCCTCTCCACCTCTAAACCCACGTTTCCTGTCATTTCCGTCCACAAATAAAACGCTTGCTGCGCATCTTTTCACTCCTCCAGTCACGGGGGAATTAAACGTTCATATTTTTAGAGGTTTTTTGCGAGGCATTCTTCAAGCTTCTCTGTGTCTGCCGCTAGTTATCCTCGGCTCTCTTTGCAATGGCGGCGCTGTAAACAACAGCAGCGTCCTGACCAATCACAAGCTTGCATAATCCGTCTTGTTCGACGGATGTTTAAAAAAGTGGGCTCATCTCCGTACGTACTTGCGTGCCTGCCGGAGCCCTACGCTGGGACGGATAATGGCGTTGCGTGTCTCCGCACTGACGCAGACGGAGAAGCATAAATCAGGCTTTAGTCTGAGTTTTTGGATCAGATCTCAGATTTTTTATCGGATTTGGTGCTAAATACTGATACGGTCATTGTAGTGGGGGATTTTACTATTCATGTGGACATTGAAAGTGATAGCCTCAATGTAGCCTTTAGTAATATCTTAGACTCAATTGGTTTTACTCAAAGAATACATAGCTCCACCCACTCCTGCCATCATACATTAGACCTTGTGCTGACTTATGGCATAGAGTGTGAGGAAATAACGATATTTCCACATAATCCAGTCCTCTCGGACCACTTTCTGATAACCTTTGAGTTTTTTTATAACTGAGTTCTCGAGACATGAAAGTAAATTTCACTATAGTCGGTCTCTATCTGACAACGCAGATCAGTAACATTGGAGCACCACAGGGCACTGTACTCTCACCATTCCTTTTCACCCTGTACACCTCAGACTTCCAGTACAAATCAGAGACCTGTCATCTACAGAGATACTCAGATGACTCTGCAGTTGTCGGGTGTATCTGAGATGGACAGGAAGCTGAGTACAGAGAGCTGGTGGAGCGCTTTGTGGCATGGTGTGGAAACAATCATCTGATCTTGAACGTGAACAAAACAAAGGAGATGATTTTAGACTTCAGAAGAAACAGGGTGGAGTCAAACACTGTTTCCATCATGGGAGAAGAAGTGGAGGTGGTTGAGGAATACAAATAGCTTGGGGTTCACCTGGACAGCAGACTGGACTGGAGAAAGAACAGCGAAGCCGTTTACAAGAAGGGACACAGCAGACTGCACTTCATGAGGACGCTTAGGTCCTTCAATGTCTGTAGCAAGATGCTGCAGATCTTCTACAAGTCTGTTGTTGAGAGTGTAATCTCTTCAGCCATCGTCTGTTGGGGTAGCAGCATCAGAAGCAGGGACCTGAAAAGGCTCAACAGCCTAATAACAAAGGCTGGTTCTGTTCTGGGGACGACTGTGGAACCGCTGGAGGAGATGATGCAAAGAAGGATTCTCCAGAGAATCAAGAACATGATGGACAACCCTGAGCATTCTCTTCACAAGACTGTCCGACAACGGAAGAGTGTCTTCAGTCAGAGGCTTCTTCAGTTTGGCTGCAACACTGACCGCTACTGGAGATCCTTCCTGCCAACAGCCATTGTAATATACAACACCTCTTTGATGACTTGATTATTATTATTATTCTGAGCTACTACAGCAATCAGTTTCCCTCTGGGATTAATAAAGTATTTTTGAATTTAGTTGAATTGAATAAAGACAAAAGATTACTACTAATAATAACATCAACAACAACAACAACGATAATAATAATAATAAAAAAAATAATAATAATAAATAATGAATAATAATATTAGTAATAATAATAATGATGATGATAATAATAAATAATATTCATAACATTAATAGTAATAATAATAAAGATAATACATAATAATAATAATAGTTATAATAATAATAATAAATTATAATATTAGTAATAATAGTAATAATAATCATGATAATAATAATAATAATAAATAATAATAATAATGGTTATAATAATAATAAATTATAATATATTAGTAATAATAGTAATAATAAAGATGATAATAATAATAAAAATAATATAATAACAAAAATAATAATTAAAACAATCATAGTAGTAGTAATAATAATAACTATTATTATTATTATTATTATTATTATAAGTGGATTTAATGATGATTTTAATTCACACAAACATGCTGTAATCTGGTTTTGAGAACTTGAATCTGATCCAAGTTTAGCTTCATCTTCTCCTCTAACTAAACCCAAATAATCTCCACCGGGTTTATTTAGAAAAGTCATATTTGGTGATGAACTCGCTGATGTCACTTTTTAAAGCAGAAACAAAATTCTCTTTGTTTCTTGGTGTTTTTTCATTTTCAGGAATAATCTTAAATCTGAAAATAAAAGATTGGGTTGAAGCAGTGACTTTCTCTTTAATCCTAATCTGTGACCTGAGATTACCTCTGCTGATCTAATCCTTGTGTTTCTACATCACTTCCTGTCTGGTTTTGTTCTCCTGCTTTTGAGAAGTAAAGACTAAAGTTCATTTCTCTTGTTGTGACTCGAGATGATTTCTGGATTCCAGATTCAAACAGACTATTAATCCCTGAGAGGCAATTAGAAGTTGTGGTGAAGCAGCACATAGACACCATAAACACACTGCTATCGTCCAGTGTGACTGGTTCATATTAGCAAGCGTGTGTTAACACGCGTGT